ATGTAAAATTTTGCTTCCACTTCACAATTGTATACCACTTTGTGTTGGTCTTTCACATTAAATTCCAGTGAAATATATTTATGTTTGTGGTTGCAATGTGACAAAATATGGAAAAGTTCAAGGGGTATGAATACTTTTGCAAACCACTGTATTTCTCCCCTCAGTAGGGTTGTTTACAGCACACGCGATTTCCGGTTAGCTTCTTAGCTTAGCCTCCGTCACACCGACAACACACACATGCTTCAGCAGAGGCCACACCTCCTGCAAGAAACGCTTCTCTATGTAGCAAGTCCAGACCCTTGTACGAAGCAAAGTGAAGGACAGGGTCTGGTTTTAACCAGGCTACACCTCTCCCAAAGACATGTTCAACCTTTATTTCTTTATCAAAATAATAAGATAATAAAGTAAATAGTTATAAACTTATGTTTGTAAAAGGAGAAAATAAGAACTGCGTTATGTGTACCACCACCACTACCTCCCCACTTGCCTACAACCTGCCTTTCAGCAGTGGAATAATGTGGTGTTATTACAAATAAACTGGAGACAGCAGTCTATTGAGTGTAGCTCAGCTGTGTACAAATCTGACATTTTACTATCAAATATGAATGAGTACTATGCACTCCATTCTCTACCTATTTGTGTTCGTGTGAATGTTTTTATGTCCAAACGTTGCATCACCCACCTCTCTGCCACGTTCCTGGCAGACTGGAGGAAGCGCGCGTGATCGTTCTCCTTCAGGCTCTGTTCGGCCTGCGTGATGAGGGCACTGGAGCGCTCCAAACACTGGCGACAGTTTGCAATCTGCTGAGCCAACTTGCGCAGTTTCATCACCTGGAACAAGCACACACACACACACACACAGTAGATGTTGCAACACGTAATTTATATTCATTCGCACAAAACCCGAGTCTTGACAGCATACTCTGCTGTTGTGATAGAAAGACTGTTTAATTTTATTGAGTGATGAAAACCCAGACAACAACACCAGCGTTGTATTATTCTGTCTAGGAAAAGTTTCAAAGTAGAAAAAAAATCCCTTAAATTCCTTTGAAGGCAAAGTAGTTTTTGTTAAACCAGGTGCAGACTCTGCATGCAGCCAAGTTGCTGTCAAATATCAATAATATGAGCTTTAACAGCACTTTTTTTAAAACAATTTGTCAGGTGAAAGAACAAAGAAGCCAAACTCAATATTAGTATCGGTTTTACTTCCATAAATGATACAAATGATCAAAATAGGAAGTACATAGATGTGTAGCTGATAAAAAGAAGGATTCTAGTCTGCATGAGGAAGTTATTTTATATGGATTGTAGCCTAAATGTTTGTCTTTTTTAAAAAAAAAAGCCTTCCACAGCTGGTGGAAACCACCTGCTGATTCTATACAGGCACAATCACAGACAGCGATCTTCACACAAGCAAAAGGAAACAGGAAGACGGTTAGAATGCAGTAAAGAAAAGACTTGGTCATGGAGTTCGAACTGAAAAAAGTAAAAAGAAAATCTATGCTTTTTTCTTGATAGAGTAAAATCCTGGGGAACATATGTAATAAGATGTTTTAAGGATGTTTATTCACAAGCAAACATTAATGGTGTTCCCGACTGAGCATATAGAAAACATTAAACATTCATTTGGAATGAATCAGTTTATCTTCATCGTGCCTCATATCCTGACTCTGGGTATAAATTCAGTTTAGTAAAACTCTTTATAGTAAATAACTGAGGCTGTTTGAGTGCTGTGAAAATATCAACAAAAGGCGAGCTGCAGCTTTATAGCCTGGTCCAGCGCACAAATTGTTCATCAGGAGCAGATTAAAAACTCATTCATCCAAACGATGTTTCTAAAAGACACTAGATATTTAACTTGTAAAATTTCAATGAACCTTAAAGAGTTACCTCAGATCTTTTGAAGTGAGCTTCTGCAGAAAGGTTATCAACAATTAATAACTTACCTGCTAACACCAGTTAAGAGAAAATAAGGTTTAATTATGACCAGAGCAAAAAACAGCTAAAGGCTAGTCCAGGCAGGGTTAGAGCAACAAAGAGGGTTAAAACAACAGCTTACTTATAAACACTTATAAACAATTTATTAAGAAATTTGTTCAAACTTTTATATCACTGTCAGGTTTGCATTACGCATTTTGACAGAAATATTATTACCCTCCTGCAGGAAGTGCACCAGGCTGTGCTCCAGCTAGCTGTGCTGCAACTAACCATATACTGTATTTCTATCATGTACTGCAGAAGATGGCGGTGGTGGCGGCAGAAGTATGTAGCTGTGCAGTATCGCTGCAGGAAAATACATCCCATTTGGCTTTTTTTGGCTTTACAGGCATCTGCAGGTCTGTTTTTGACCAAATTTACCTCAGCTTTAGTGTTGCTGTTACTCTGTATGCTACATAAACGAAAGATCAAAGACGCAAATGATGGACATCATTTTCGAAAAACAGCAGCACACAAGCGTCCTATGGCGTTTTTACAAGCATCGACCATAAGTTATCCTAACTTTGGTAAATATCATCTACCTTGCTGGTTGGGCTGGTTTCTCCGGCTTGCTGCTGTTGTGGCGTGTCTCGGTGGAGTGGTGGATGTGGATGGAGTCCCTCGGCCCTCGGATTGTCCCTCGTGTTTGGACGGAGCGCCTGGGGTGGCCTTGCCGGCCTGGACGTGTGGCGGTGGGAGCCGGGACGGAGCGACTAATCTAACAAGTGAGGCGTACCAGCTTCYCTRTTRCCTATTTGGATCAATATCAGCCGTGCCCTGTTTTTCGGTTGAGGATCAAACTGGAGCTACTGGTTTTGGTGGTTTTGTGTCCGACATGGTGGGAACCATGTTATTCAAGCCTTGAAGTGTGCGCCATTCAGCGAAGAAAAGAACAGCAAGCTACTGACTGGCTTCAGAACCTCACCTGATCGGGTAGTAATTTCGGTCTATGTTACTGTTTTTCATCAGTGGACAAAAGACATTAGTGCTTGTGGTGGAACTACTACTTTTATGTTTAAGCAAGTAATTCATGAC